AGCACTACCGCAACATGAGCCATCTTGATCAAACGGTTTACAAAAGACCACTTCATCCGTATTGCCTGCCGAGTCCTTCGGCAGGCCAAACACAAACTCCATACCCATGAACTACCAACACCTGGAGGGTACCGGTAAACTGGCCAGCAGCACCGCCGCATTCAGAGAGGGTATCACCTTTTAACACGCCTCACATGTGCGCCCTCGTTCATTTGTACAGCTTTGGGCTACCAGTAGTGGCAACTTACAGAGCTGTACGTCTTCTCACGACTGAGATGACCACCAGGTAGGGTGTCGTGGGCCTCATAGAGGATAGGTTATTAAACCTTCACCGTAAAAAACACAATTTGTGGCGTATCGGTTGAATCGGTGCTATAATAAGGCAACCAAGCCAATTGTGCAAGTTCTTTTGGTTCTTTGGAACTGGCCAGTCCACAATGGCATTGACCTTACCGGGATCCGCTCGAAGGCCACGCTTTCCAATTAAGCACCCTATAGTTAATTTAACGCCGAATATGCACTTATCAGCATTAGCATACAGCTTTTATGCGCATGCACGCGAGCACCGCTCTTAAATGCAAGATGTGGTTTACCTCATCTGTCCTTCCATGCCCCGCACGATTGTGGAAGCAGATTTCGTCAAAGTATGGCTGTGCTTACGCCCGATGGGGTTTAAACAACTGCGTCACAAGACGATTTAATGTTGCTGGGACATTCGACAGCCCTTGGGGCATCACCAGCCACTCCAGAGCGTCCCGCTCCGAGTCTTCACCGCTATCAGCGAAATATCACTCGCTCTCACGAGCAATTGGTAAGAACCATCGATCAAGTCGAGTGCGCTGTGCTTGTACAGCATCCCAAATTATTCTGATAAACAACCTTTTAGGGAGTTGGCGTTTGTGCCGGAATGGTGGCACCGTTTAGCTCATTGTAAGCTTGCACATTACCTTACTTGCCGTTCGGCTTCTGGACACAAAACATAGGTGTCGAGGAGGAGACCTACTCTCACAAACCATTCGTGTCTTGTGCTTTGCATGGAAAAGGCGTCAATGACGTCACAATGTTCCTCGGGCAGGGACAATTGGCGTGTTACGCAGTATTTGATTTCCGGAACCAGGTCAATCAATCTCATGACGCACACTCGGTCCGGAGGTTGGACAGACGGCGAGTCTTTTGGAGACGAAATCTTAAAATTCTTATACCAATGGATAGTACAGATCCGAGGAATCCTTCAGGATCGACGATCCACCTCATGCGTTCAGCACCCTCATAGTCATTCAGACACGACGACGAGTTAATCTCCTCGTTTGGTCCAGCTCTGACTACCTCGGCTAAATTGTCTGCCTACAAGTCACCGCCAAACTTTCCGAAGGACATCTAGTTTAGCTTAAGAAGAGCATCCACCGCGGGATTAGCCTTATGGGTAATTTCGCCGTATTTCACTTCCGACAAACCGTTGACAAGGGTATATAGCTGTGCGCTGTCGTCTACAGTAGACACACCCTGGGTCAGGATCGACGCCCTGCGTCTTGAGATCTCAAACAGCTTTGCTGGTTTCTCTCTATAGAGGTTTTATGTCTCATCGAGACCTGTGGGAACACGCACTCGGCATCGTTTAGTGTCCCCACTCCCTGCTCGATCGGAGCCTTGATGTTATCAAAACATATGACGAAGAGCTGCTATTTCCGCAGTCTTTGTTCAGTGGATAACGTGCCACTCCACGCGCTTCAGAAGAGCCTTGCCCAAGATGCCTCGGACCTCGTCCGACGATGCCATTTTGTGCATGCAGCAGCTGCTAAGAGTCAGCACTGCCCAGTAGATTACGTGCCACTTCTCGCGCATCACAAAGGCCTTGCCCTTGATACCTCAAACCTCATTCAGCCATGCCACCCTTGGCATACAGCGACTGCTCCAATACTTGGGCAGCGTTCAGAGGGTTACGTGCCACTCCACGTCCAGCACGTGAGCCATGCTCGGGACTCTTGTCCAAAACACATTCGGTGTTTGACAACTCATATCCAGCACATTTGAAACCCCGGTCCAGTGTCCGTGTCAATAGCGCTTCTGCCTCCAAACAGAGGTAGGTTCATGACTCACCAGAGCTCCACTAGGAGACGCGCGCGTAGCGCCAAAAGTCTTCGACCTCTAATCAATCCATAGCTCATGGTGTTTCAACCATGCGATATCAAGGATAAGGTCACACCTTGCACCCAGCTCTAAGACTAGACAGCGTTCAACTATATCAAAGTCAAGTAAATTGACACCGAGGTCCACAGGGACCCTCGGCACACTCTTCATCGCTAAGTAAACAGTGATGGTGTCACTTGACCGCGCTGCCAGCACCTCAGCATACAGCTGACTTCCTCCGATTGTGGAGCGTCAAGCATAATTGCCCCAGACACCAGAATCGATAAGGATTTTTCATGGTTTATCAAAGCTCTTGACGGCCGCTTTTACGACCAGCAATCTTGGCTTGCATACACGTTCCGTGTTAAAGAGCACGTAGCTCTTCGGTGCTGAGCCCTGCTGCCCTCTACCACTTTGAGGTTCAGCAGACCTCAGTTCTCCCCCGGTAGGTTGCCCAGTGCTTACTGGGTGTTCTTGTTTTCCCGCGTCAAACTAGACTGGTTAAAAGAGGACGTCGGTTGTCCCTTCCGATTAGTGCAAGGGACAACCCGTCCGATGGTGACGGATGTCTCCAAAACAAAGCATCGCCTCACTGTGAAGCACCGTTAAACAAATCACTTTGTCCATGCATTCTCGCAGCTTTGAAAATGCTTAGTTGCTGCTTGGCAGCTCGGAGCTTTGCCTCCTAGACCTCAGCATGACTGCTCAGGCCCGCTTGACGAGCTATTGATGTGTGCTTTCCAACCAAATCGTGCCAACCTAAAGTTGGATTTGGCACTCAACGCCACATTTACTGCTTCTTAGAGAAGACGGATGCACACGATTGACTCCTTTCTTGCCACGCCAGTGCGATGGCCCTTCATGAAGACGGTCGCTTTGACCGCCTCGGAAAGAGAATCGGCTGCCATACCAGCAATGAGAGTACGCAAATCATGGACAAAGTCAACCGATTCCTTCTGCCCAGTCTGGGAATAAAACGCGATCGCACACAATATGCCTAGTTTGGCGGCGAGAAGACTCGTGAAAGCTGCAGCTCCAGCTCCGTCCAGGAGGGAAAGGCGCTTCGATCAAATTGCCGCACGTCAGTGCTTATTCGCGCGCTCAACCCCAAACTTGGGAATAATTGGCACCATGCGCTCTTGATCGGTCTGGAGTTTGGCGGGTGCCATAGCCATCTCGACTCTTATGGCCCAGAGAAGAAGTTTTCTTCCACCTTTATCCTCAAATGTCTTAACGCTCATCATGAGCGGCCTGGGTCGGAAGAAATTATCCGTCGTCGACGGTGGTGTCATGGACGAAGTCGACGCTGACAGATTCTGCTGTAAGTGCTCTAACAGAGCATTCTCAAAACTTGAAAATACCTCTAGGTGCGCGCTTATGGCCTCGGGCCCATGCGCAACGAGGTGCTTCATGCTCTCAGGACCCAGCAGGGACATTAGTTTATTAAGCCCGTCCTTCATGCCCTGGGGCAAATAGGAGTATTCCTGCATACTCACATAGGATCGGTCGTAACGACTCAGGCGTAGACTGACTAAGAGTGCTATCAAGCGCAGCGGGGCTGCCTTAGCTCTTTGCTAATAGGAAGCTAAGCTAAGGTCACCAACCTCACGTTCTTTCCAAAGACCAGTGCAAGGGTAGCGGATTGCAATCCACTACTTCTAAGTACTAAAGCCTTTCCAAGGTCAACGTACACTTCTGTTCAAAATTGAAACTGTATTTAATTGTTTTAGTTACGGCAGAACCGCTAATATCTAAACCCTAGATTTTCCTAATGAATATAGTAATACGTAATTAATATAGCAAAACTAAATTATTGAAGTAGTTGGCATTACAGCTGGCAATCCTGCCACGTGGTAGCCTCTTGTTATGGTGTAGCCACACCACTGTGTTATTGTACTAACTGTGTTAAACATACCTATGTTCGGTCGCACAATCTTGTGCGACCCACCCTTTCTTACAAGGGAACGTGTATTCCGGTACAGAAAATGATCTGGGGATGCCATCTTGGATCGAATTCAGTGATTGAAGCATGCTCTGCAAGTTATCCCTTCAGCTGCGGCTGCTGCCGCTGATGATGCGGAGCCTTCTACCAAGCGACCTTCGCTCTGGTTTGGATGGTTATGCTTCCCGTAGAAATCGCCAACGCGATCAGCAGTCAGCTACTTCTTGATGACGTTTCGATTCTTGCGACCGTTTGCTTGGCTCTGAAGTATACGAAAGTCTACCTTTTTCTGAAGATGAGCTGCAGCTCTAAAGCGACATTTGTTTCTTCTGCGTTACACTTCGACTGCATATCGCGTAGTCGTGATAATAGTGCTTGAGGCGTTGGCGTAAAATGTGTTCTCAGCCAGCTTGGAAGGTCGATAAAATAAGCATTTCCATGGCATGTTACTACTCGGAAGGGCGAAGTAATAGCTTCGAGCTTTCAAGCTTGAGACCGCATCGCCTGATAGGCTCTTAATACATAATCCCCCACAAGAAAATAAACTTTTGCCTTCACGACCTCATCTATCTGCGTGTTTTTTGCTGAACTTGCGCATTTGCCATTGTGTCTCTCACACGTGTGATCAGATCATGATGAATGAGTCAATATCTTCCTTGTACGTGCGATTCACATTCACATCAATAATGGTTTAATTTGGAAGGCAACAATCTGCCGAGTTCCTCCCACACTTACATGGAGGACGTAATACATCGCACAAAGTGGTGATCGCAGGTGTCGCGTAAAGAGTGGCGCGAATCCAGTGGATGAATGAATAGCAAACTCAATTAAGGGTAACA